TGGTGCTCCTTGCATATGTTTCCATAAAGAGATCTGTGTAATTCTACGGACATGATAGGGAGAGCCATGAAAAGATGCCTTTGAAAGCCAGCATGAAAGCTCCAGTTATGTTCAGAGCTCTAAAGCTGTTTCCAAATAATGAGATACTCCATACTGTTTGACTGGGCTTGAAGGGAATAACTCTAGATAAACATTAGGAGATAAAAGAGATCACCTTCCCCTTTATGCATTTCCTTGTATTGTGTGAACTGTCTTCCAGTGGGGATTGAATCACATCTTGCCTCATACAGAAAGCAAAAGAAGTCATTAGCTCTGCTAATTGTGAAGATAAAGAAAAAAAGGCGATGACATTTTGCTTTGTGTGTGGTTAAACTTGTTAAATGCATAAATTAAGCAATTCTTTTAATTCTCATTTGATTCATTACTGTTACGGTACTCCACCATGCCAGCGCACTAGTGCTGCTTTTTTTTTGGACTCCATTCAATTTGAATTTAAACTGTACCTTTTCTTGTTACACACATTAAATAAATAAAATTGCATTGTAGTACACAATACCCAATGTTTTAATTTGGTAGTGCATTATATAACATCCTTTGAGTACACACAGTATGAACACATAATTTAGTAATACTTCTATAGAGAATGGATGAGTTGCATGACTGGATCTGATTTGTTGTGAAGCCACAATACAAGTATACAAAACCTTAGTAGAAATATGTGGGTTTTGCCAACTAGGATATTTTGGGTTTATTGTTTATAATTGAGTTTAATTTATGTCTGTTTGCTTTTCGGGGTATGTGAACATGTTTAAAGCACCTTGAAGGTTATATGTTTAATTAGATTGTTAACTACTGTCATACTGAGAAATGGATGGGAGTTGAGCCATCAGGATTTTCAGCAGCATCAGTACTCATTGCATTAGGATTTTCAGCTACCAGCTGTGTACAAGGAAGGTGATAGTATTTTCGCACATGTCTTGGCACTGATGCTTAGAGACAGTCATAGTGTCTGTTCCACGTGAATGTCGCCCTAAACCTCTCGCTGACTTTTGCACCTGAGCAGTGTTAAATCTGCTGTATTTTTAGGGTGTCTGTTTTGCAGAAAACAAGAAAAATAGAAACTGGTATGAAATTTTGTGCATGGCTATTGAAAATCATCAATATCTGTTTTGTACTAAGTGTATGTGCTACATACTACGGATGAGTTAAATTAAAGCCCTGATCTGTAAAGCACTCGGCATCTCAGCTGAACCGTGGCATTTCAGGCCTGCAGCTGTGTACAGCTACTAGGTATGCAACATTTCACAGCCTTTCACAGAGAGTAAGCTGAGCCTTCTCCCAGGACGTTTTCTGTCCCTCTAGTATAGTTAAATCTGTTGGCATGCAAATAAGTAGATTTGTACTTCTGGAGATAAACCTTTCCCAATGTAATAATAGTATCAATCTGTGACTTTCTTAAAGACTTAGGAGCTTAGAAAGATTTGAATTCTTGGCATGTTTCATAGTTAAAATGCCTTGTTGTTACCTCTATGAGGTTAGAGAGGAGCAGTTCAAATGGCATCCTAGTGGCAGGTCATAGGCCCATGGCTGATGCACCCCATGCTACCGAGAGCACTGACATTTTTCCCCCCTCTGCAATGTGCAGTGCTATGTACATTTTAGAAAATTTTGGATTCTGTTCCACCAGAGAATATTAGCATGTAGCAGAAGAAACTACAGCATCAACACGCACTGACCTCTCCCACACACACTTTAGCACTTTAGCTCCTGTCTCACAGGAACTGGTCCACTATTTTGAAAGGTAAACTAACTTGCTAAAAAAAGCTTTGAAGCATTCAGTGAACATCTCCTTAGAGAAGTTATTCCCTCAGTTAAACTCACAAAAGTCTGTTGCCATCCAGCAGCTAGCTGGCTATACAAGTTAGAGAAATCCTGCAGGTCTCACTTTCCCCACCAGCTCCTTCCCTCCTGTTACTTTGATATGGGACTAAGAGCTGCATGTACACTTAAAGAGAGTTCAAAAACTGAATGGGTTTGGGGAAATTAGTTCAGATGATGCCTATACATTTGGGATCTTTAAGGTCAAAGGTAGGAAGTGTATAGGCTAGGGTCAAAATTCCTAATGAGACATACACAAACACGGTGATATTCACAGACTGAGTCTTGTTTGGCAGGAAATAATATACTGGAACATGAAGGTACAAGCATATGTGTTTTATTATAGGGTTCAGTAAAAATGGGTGCTGGTAAAACAGGATTTCCAGTTCAAACAAAGAATCTTATCTTTAGTCGGTCTTTGTTAATTCACTCTGAATTTCATCAAATAGGGGCTATATCCCCAGGAATTCCTCTGACAAAGGGGTCCCTGAAAACCTGGAAGATTATCCAAGTACAATTTAAAGAAACATACAGCAAAGATGACTGACTAAAGGTAGAAGTCTCTGAG